AAGTAGGTGAGGGGGACAGCCGATTTTTGCCAGTATTTTGAATAGCCCGTTGCGACTGACGTAATCAAAGGCTTTTGTAAGGTCCACAAAGGCAATGTACAGTGGCATCTGCTGCTCTCTGCATTTTTCCTGGAGCTGTCGTATGGAGAACACCATGTCTATGGTAGACCGGCCAGACCGGAAACCGCACTGAGATTCTGGATAGACACGAGATGCTAGACTCTGTAAACGTGTTAGTATGACACGGGCAAAGGCCTTTCCTACAATACTAAGGAAATATTTAAAAAGTTAAGATTATACTAACTTGTTTTGTTTTTGTTTGTTTGCGTTGAACATGTCAAAAATGTTAGCAGAGAGTCCCACATGTAAGATGATGTGAGCATTGCTTTTTTTAAATTTATTTTGGACATCTTTTTTGGATGGAAATATTTTTTGTTTTTAAAATTCACTTATCAATAAAGTAGTTTTTAAACCAATAACTAGTTTTAACGGAGCAATTATAAAACAACATTACTATTTTGTAACAACTAAAAGAATAAGTATTGGTATAATCAAAAACCACGGTATAATACAAAAAACCAGGTCAATCAGAGCCGTCGCTTGACTTTTCGAGACCCCCTGCCATTTTTTGGGGCCCCTGCCATTTTTTGGGGCCCCTGCCATTTTTTGGGGCCTACTGCTATGCTTCTTTCGCCCCCCCCTAACCCTTGCATTCAAAGTTGATATTCTAACCAGGTATAAGAAAGGGGATGCGGTCCGCCCCCCCTCCTGGGTGACAATTTTTTTTCTTATATAATGAAGGGCTAGATTTTCGGTGACATACAGAGGTCTTTCGTTGGGAAAAGTGTAAGGGGGGGGGTGGCAAAAATGTGCAAAAATAATGACCCACCTAGGGCGGCACTAACCCTAGTTACGCCACTGAATATATAAAAGTGTCAACTAATATTGTGTATCAACTAAGATTAGGGAAGTGGAGCAGATTGCTTTTGGCCGAGCTCTGTGCCAACTTCGCTCCAGATAAATTTTGGTCATCTCCACCTCTGCTCGGAGCATAGACAAAATTTTTTTTTAAAATATAAGGGTTGCTTCGTCAGCATTTTCAATAACTTTAAGCTATAACTTTTTATTCACTACACCAGTGAATAATTATATTCTTGCTGTCGGTATTTGTGTTAATTTTTGCCGTTCCCAAGTCCAACTAGACTTAAACAGTACATAAATCGCCAGTCATGGGGGCTGTGCAATAGTGGCAAAGTCAATCAATTGGTATAGTTAACTTCTGGTGTGACACGTGTCTCTCCCGAGGGTGGTCAGCCTGACACTGGGGTTTGATTAACGACACCTGAGCTAGACTTTGTTCTACACGCGGGTGACGTTAGTTGCCGTTATACATTGTCGTGTATTGATTTACTTGGAGAATGCCTAGTTGGGATATGCACCGCGTAACACGCCGCTAGGCCGATAGTTTCAAGGGGGTTCAAGAGTAACAAAAGAATATATTAACTTTATCGTGTCATTGGGAGCTATTGCGTCATCGCGCCAAGTTTTTATGTTTTTTGTATGCTCTAGGAGCCATTAAAAAAAAATCTCGAACGCAATACGTTTGATAAATCACTTAATTTTTTCACAAACATTGTAATCAATGGGGACCGATAGGACTTTGACAGAAGGGAATCACAAGAGTCATTGGTTTTTTCATTGTATCCACGATTTTTAATTTTTATTTTTTTAATAAGGATTGCCCCAATGAATTTTAATTCTATTCCAAGCTGTAGAGCTAACCATTGATTTCATTATGTGATGTACACATTTCATCAGCAACAAGTACATGCCCTTTAAAAGAATTTTATCAGATCTTCAGATGTGATCTTAATCCGTAGTGGAAGACACGATAATCTCTTTGCAAATAATCCGTAGACATGACAAGGCCTGTTGGCGTAAATTAAGAGTCGCTGATCTATCTTGAGTTTTCTCAAGTGCATGTGCCATGGGTAAAAAAGGAGAAAAAAAAATTTAACAACATAGGCACTTTAAATAAGTTGCGAATACTTAATAACGGAATTAGGATTCAAGGTATTTCCGTAAGCTTTAAAAATGTCTACAGGCTACAGCCCCACCAACTACCCTAACCCTCCAACCCGCGTTTTGTTAAAATTAAGAGATTAAAAAAACGTATTGCGTACGCGATAAAAAGTGGCTGGAGAGTATGCTCCTAAAGCATATTAAAGCAAAAAAAAACAACAAAAAAACAAAAAACGCGATGACGCAATTACTACCAGTGACACGATAAACCACAAACAATTTTTTGTTGTTGCCATTTCCCTTTAATTCTTGTTTCAATGTTAATATTTTGTTTCATAGTTGTATTGTAATCTCATAGTCTTGATCTTTAACTAGAAATAACTCAGGGAAAACCACGGAAGCACAGAGCAACAGAGGGCTCTCTCCCCCCCCCCAACCGCATTGCCCAGACCGCTTTCGCTCGGTAGCCTTCAGCGCCGCCACTTTCTGCCCCACTACCCCTGCCCCCCCCCCCTCCAACGCAACCGATAGTTGACTGTCGACACGAATATTCTGCCCCACTACCCCTCCCCCCCCCCCCTCCAACGCAACCGATAGTTGACTGTCGACACGAATCACTTTCCACTTATTTTTTTTGTACAACGCTCTGTGGATCAAAGTTTATGTTTGCATGCCATTATTCGGGACAGACAGAAAGTAAGAAAAAAAGAAAAACATGTCTGGGATTTTGTTATATATATCTATATATATCTGTAGCGTACAGTTGCATCTTTGAATAATTAAATTGTAATCAAAGTAAAATGGATAGAAGGAAGACAAACATTTGATGGGATAAAAACAGTAAACAGTAGCAAATCTAAACTTTCTTTAAACTTAATATCAATTTAGCAGCCGTTTCATTTATTGAATTGTGGATGAAGGCGTGGGGCACTTGCCCCCAGATTTATCCACTGCTTTTCGTTAGTTTCAATATTTTGTAAAATCGCCAGATGGTTGCTTCTATCACCCACCCATCCACTCCCCTTCCCCCAAACTTATTCCCCCCCCCCCTTTTGTGTACTTACGTCATTACATCCGCTGTGAAGCTACCCTTGACGTCAGCACTTCTTGTGTATATTCATTTTGACCCATTTTCAACACACCCGTCATGCCAAACTATGTGCTTTTGCTTTTAAAATGGTTTTATTATGAACCCCCCCACCCCCGCCCCACACACACAATAAGTTGACATATTATGAATACTAGGAGTAGACTATTATCTTAAAATGGCGATGATTCCTGAATGATTATGGACTTAAACTGCACGGAACTCACCAAGACAGTGCTTACAGTAAGTCACCAGGAGGTGTAATTTTTTTTTTTTTAACCTTCCACCTTTACCTACGCCAACCTTCAGCCACCCCCCCCCCCCTCCCCCTCTCTCCCTCTCTCTCTCTCCCCCCCCCCCATTTTACGACGAGTGACCCCATTCTTTGCTGACGCTGCAGTGGTGTTGCAGTCTTTCTTTCGATTTCATGAAAATTTGGAACAGGATAAATCAACCAATCGAACCAAAAGGTTAGCTTTCAAATTTAATTTCTTCTTCTTCTTAACTATCCTAATGACTAATGTTTGAGAGTGTTTGAAAAGGAATTTAACATATTCGATAAATTAAAAAAAAATAAATGAATACGCTATTTACCGGGACGAAATATGGACATTGATCGATTATTGGTCAGAAACGCTTCAATTGATTTTTCTTTGAATTTTGACAAATGAACTTAGAGTCAGTCACAGACCATAGGATATCAGCCAGTAGCAGTGACCCAGATACCAAACACAATGTGCAGTTAAAGAGACGTTGCAGTTAATGCTGCCAAATGTCTTGTGCAACCCTGGGATTGTTTCTTATTCTGCATCTACCACCGGTACAAGGGGGAAAAAAACGAACGAGAAAATCTCTGGTGGTCTAGACCTGTTGTTCACCTGATGTTGTTGTTTTCAAGTTTTAAAAAAACAAACTGTTTTATTGAGGTAAGGATATAACCGAGCTTCATTTACAACTGTTTTATTGAGGTAAAGATATAACCGCCTTCATTTACAACTGTTTTATTGAGGTAAAGATATAACCGAGCTTCATTTACAACTGTTTTATTGAGGTAAAGATATAACCGAGCTTCATTTACAACTGTTTTATTGAGGTAAGGATATAACCGAGCTTCATTTACAACTGTTTTATTGAGGTAAGGATATAACCGAGCTTCATTTACAACTGTTTTATTGAGGTAAGGATATAACCGAGCTTCATTTACAACTGTTTTATTGAGGTAAAGATATAACCGAGCTTCATTTACAACTGTTTTATTGAGGTAAAGATATAAACGAGCTTCATTTACAACTGTTTTATTGAGGTAAAGATATAACCGGGCTTCATTTACAACTGTTTTATTGAGGTAAAGATATAACCGAGCTTCATTTACAACTGTTTTATTGAGGTAAAGATATAACCGAGCTTCATTTACAACTGTTTTATTGAGGTAAAGATATAACCGAGCTTCATTTACAACTGTTTTATTGAGGTAAAGATATAACCGAGCTTCATTTACAACTGTTTTATTGAGGTAAAGATATAACCGAGCTTCATTTACAACTGTTTTATTGAGGTAAAGATATAACCGAGCTTCATTTACAACTGTTTTATTGAGGTAAGGATATAACCGAGCTTCATTTACAACTGTTTTATTGAGGTAAAGATATAACCGAGCTTCATTTACAACTGTTTTATTGAGGTAAAGATATAACCGGGCTTCATTTACAACTGTTTTATTGAGGTAAAGATATAACGGAGCTTCATTTACAACTGTTTTATTGAGGTAAAGATATAACCGAGCTTCATTTACAACTGTTTTATTGAGGTAAAGATATAACTGGGCTTCATTTACAAATGTCTTATTAAGTTAAGGATATAACTGGGCTTCATTTACAAATGGGCTTTAAAAACAGCAGGAGAATAACAACAACGAACGTTTGCTTGTATAATTCTAATGCGTCATTTATGTAGGGTTTAATACTCTAAAGGAATTCTGTCACTGAGCAGCTGTAAAAATTGTTGAGGAGAGAAAACCAATAGTGTTATTTTAGAGAAGTCTAATTGTGGAGAGAAATACTAATAGAGTTATTTAGAGGAGTCTTAATGTTGAGATAAATAGAGTCTTAATTTTTTATCATCATATTGATACATCTGGGACAAATTTGTACATCACGTTAGTAGAAAACATGAGTTCACCATAATTATAAGTTATGTACAGCACAACATCACATCAGTAAAGCCCATTAAGTATAGCACACCATCACATCAGTACAGCACACCATCACATCAGTACAGCACAACATCACATCACTACAGCAAAACATCACATCACTACAGCAAAACATCACATCACTACAGTAAAACATCACATAAGTACACCACATCAGTACATCACAAAATCACATCAGTACACCACATCAGTACAACACAACATCACATCAGTACATCACAACATCAAACCAGTACATCAAAACACCACATCACTACAGCAAAACATCACATCACTACAGCAAAACATCACATAAGTACACCACATCAGTACATCACAAAATCATATCAGTACACCACATCAGTACAACACAACATCACATCAGTACACCACGTCAGTACAACACAACATCACATCAGTACACCACATCAGTACAACACAACATCACATCAGTACATCACAACACCACCTCATTACACCACATCAGTACAGTACAACACCACATCTGTACACCACATCAGTACAACACAACATCACATTAGTACAGCACAACACCACATCAGCACACCACATCAGTACAGCACAACATCACATCAGTCCAGCACAACATCACATCAGTCCAGCACAACATCACATCAGTCCAGCACAACATCACATCAGTACAGCACAACAACACATCAGTACACCACATCAGTACATCACAACACCACATCAGTACACCACATCAGTACAGCAAAACACCACATTAAAACACCACATCAGTACAGCACAACATCACATCAGTACAGCGGAACACCATCAGTACAGCACACCAAAAACATCGGTACACCACATCAGTACAGCACAACATCACATCAGTACAGCACATCAGTGCAGCACAACATCACATCAGTACAGCACATCAGTGCAGCACAACATCACATCAGTACAACGTATCAATACAACATATTAGTACGTCAGTACGTCAGGTACTCATATCAGTGCACACCATCATTCCACCATATCATCATAGTAGTACCTCACATCATAAGAAAACCTCAGTTCAGCACATTATTTCAAGACATCAGTACAACGCATCGGGACACTAAATTAGTACAGCACACCAGTACACCACATCAGTACAGCACATATGTACAATGAGTACAACACATTAGTGACACTCAACAATACGGAACATGAATGCAACTAATGTATAAAACACTTACAAAAAAAAAAAAAAAAAAAAAAAAAAAAAAAAAAAAAAAATAATAAAAAAAGAAAAAAAAAAAAAAAAAAAATAAAATAAAAAAAAAAAAAAAAAAAAAAAAAAATTATTGTAAAAATAAAAAAAAAAAAAAAAAAAAAAAAAGATCAAAAAAAAAAAAAGATCACAAAAAAAAAAAGATCACAAAAAAAAAAGAACAAAAAAAGAAAACCATGATGCCAAATAATTCCAATATATGTTCGATTAACTGAGATCAACGCTCCACCCAAATAATGAGCCATGTGTAATAAAGAAGTGAAAAAAAAAAACCTTTTTAAATTAGAGATTTCCAAGAAAATGTTTACATGCGAAGCTACTGAGAGTGCAGACCTCGGTTGCTATAGATCACAAGGACAGCTTCTTCACGACAATCAAAATGTGTAATTTTTATCATTTATTTCACAAGAGATAAGTTGTTGTTTTTTCTTCTTGTATCTGCAGCCAACATCGTGGCGGGCTGGAGGGAAATCTGCGAGAGTCCCTTACCCCGAGTTGGTCTGGTTGAGACTGTTGAAGGAGCTCCACCATTTACCGGACGATTGAACTGTCACGCCGATGAGGGTACGGGAAGCGGGCGCCTTCGACACGAACAAACACGACACGCCGCCTCTGACGTCAGATCTGCGCCGGAAGTTGTAATCGCTTGCCGGATTTGCCAAATTTATTCTGATAATAGCGGCCACTATTTGGGAAACTGCTTACATAGGGTTTCCCTGGACATTCAGGGGAGACAAGACAGTACAAGACATCAAACAAGACATCTCTTCCCTCCATTAGAATTACAAATCGTCGCCATGTCTTACCCTACCCACAATTCCCCTCCACATTCGCCGATCGCAAATATAACCCTGACGTCACCCTGTCCACAAACCACGTCGATCTTCACCATCAGGGCACAGGACGCAGCCTCCATGGTGAGTGAGGTACAAAAGGACGACGACTCCAGGCACTGCTACCTGCTCCATCTCAACCTGCGGCCTCTGTTCAGCGATGACGTCATTCCGGGCTCGTGCCTGCGGAGGCTGCTGAGACTGGTGAACGGCATCCCGCTGGGCGCAGGACTTCTCTCTCGCGACCAGCTCAGGGGCATTCAGTGGCGGCTGGTGGAGGGCGGCAACACGGCCCTGACCTTCATCTCGTGCCCGCTGTTGGTGGAGGAGGCGGAGGAATCCAAGAACTGCCTGAAGGACAGGTTGGCCAAGCAGGCGCACGCCGTGTTCGGTGACATCACGGTCAAGGCCGGCGTGGTGCTGTCGCGGTGCCTGGAGTACAGCGAGGACATCGTCCTCAACGACATCGCGGTCGTCAACGGGGAGGGGCTGCATTTTAGAGATTAAACTCTGTGCATTAGTGTAGAGTAACTGGTGTGCAAATTGGGTGATTCTTTTTGTTAGACGTGCGCACAAAGGGAGTGTCACTAAAAATAGACATGACACACAGTTGGATGTGTGAACAAATTTACTCAAAAGAATATCATTTAGAAAGGCACTTAAGTTTAATTATATTAAACAACATTTCTTTTGTTGGTGGCAACTCTTTTTTTTTTTGGGGGCCAACCCCCCCCCCCCCCCCCTAAAAATCAGTCGTTTTATACTTTAATTTCCCTTGTTGGAAAGAGTTCTTATTTCTTCCATAGAATGAAATATCAGTATTTTCAATGTCTGGCATTATTTTTTTTAAAAAGCGTTTTACATTTTGTTGCACTACATGTTTACTCCCCTTGAACCAAACACACCAGGAATAACTTAATTACATTATTTTTACAAAAAAATATATTAAAAAAATATGATTCTTAAAGCAGAGGAGACATTGGCTTTCGTCACAGATGCAGATCTTAGCCACATATTCTTAATCCATCATACCATGTAAAATATATGCGATCTCCAACTCTTCCACTGCCACCCCCACCTCAGTGATTAAAAAAAAAAATGTGGATATCTATTCCAAACATGATTAGTTTTACATAAACTTACGAGACATCGGTAGATGGATTTGATGTGTGGTATGGCTATAGCTGTGATGTGTGATATTGCGATTACTGTGATGTTTGCTACCTCCAATAGCTGTGATGTGTGAGGTTTTTTTTTCTTTCTTCATGATATGCGTGATAACCCAAGTGTGAGGTTTGTGATAGATGTACTATACTTCCTAAGCTCTGCGATGACGTAACTTAATCTATAGCCAAATATTTATTAAATAGTTAAATCCCAAATTATGTGACTGCTCCATGTTTCCCCTCCGACCAAACTCTCCGAAAATCCCTTATTTATTTCACACTCACCCATCCATAAGTCCCTCACCCCTCTTTCATATCCATGTGTCACCATCCATGCCTCTATCCGATTGTCTCTATCTAAGCGTCCTTATCCTCATGGCTGAATGCAGGTGTTTCTTCAGGAAACAACAGTGACCTTGACCCTAGATATCCATGACTACCTTTACTTTCAATCCAGCCATTCATCTTTGTCATCGTGTATAATCACTGTTATCCATCCAAACATACTCACACACTTATCCATACAAACATTCTTACACACTTATCCACTTAACAATCCACACACACATCACACCTATCCACACCCACATATCCATTAACTCAGTGTACCATCGCACAGATACCCACCTATTTATCCACTCAAACACACACACATATCCACAAACACCCATTCAAAAACCCTTAATACAATACATAACTATCCAATACGTAACTATCACATAACTATCCACACTCACATTCACTCTCTCATCCACTTGTGCCATTCCTAATGACTTGTCACCCCCAAAATTATAATAAAATATGATTTTATCCCTTGTCACTTGAAAGATTTGTTCATTGCTTATTTGAATTGTTTTTGTCATAATTAAAAAAGAAAAAACGCATTTTGTGACAAAATAAACCTGTTAGGTGCACTGGAATATTTAAAACCCGTTTATTAGAGGCACTACGGTAGATTCTCAGTTACCTGTCTTGGCGCAGCAAGCCAAGCAGAGGTAAATTACCACACAAAAAAAAAAATTCGATCACTTTTTTTCTGTTCCATCTATCGTATGTATCTATGACTACATCCACGTCATAACTAATAGTTGCTTCGGTCACGTGGGCTGGTAGGATATGGGGTAGTTTATAAGCTTTTTAGTTGACCAAAGGTTTTACCTCCAAAAACGCATGATTAAATTGCTCCCCCGGATTATATAGAGGACTATTGTACGTAATAAAAATAGTCGATTCGTAAAATATTCGTGGCGTAACAAATTGGGGTTGTTGGGGGGTCCAACATGGCCAACCCAATAATGGCAGCACTTAGCAACACCTCTATATTACACCACATTCAAGGAAATGATTAGAAATTTTTGAAATTTTTTTATTTTCGACAAAGATTTATTTCGGTTGATTCGTTTGAAACAGTTCCTAATAATAAAGACTTGGTCATTTCGTAAGATGAGTGTTATTACTCGTTGACTTGTTTTAGTTGTTGACTTGTTGTTACTTGTTGACTTGTTGTTACTTATTGACTTATTTGTAACTTGTTGATTTGTTTTTACTCTTTGACTTGTTGACTTGTTTTACTCGTTGACTTGTTGTTACTTGTTGATTTGTTGTTACTTGTTGACTTGTTTTACTTATTGACTTGTTGTTACTTGACTTGTTTTACTTGTTGACTGATTGTTACTTATTGACTTGTTTTACTTGTTGACTTGTTGTTACTTATTGACTTGTTGACTTTTTGTTACTTGTTGACTTGTTGTTACTTGTTGACTTGTTATTACTTGTTGACTTGTTTTACTTATTGACTTGTTGTTACTTGACTTGTTTTACTTGTTGACTTGTTTTTACTTGTTGACTTGTTGTTACTTATTGACTTGTTTTACTTGCTGTTACTGGTTGTTACTTATTGACTTGTTTTACTTGTTGACTTGTTGTCACTTATTGACTTGTTGTTACTTGTTGACTGTTTTACTTGCTGACTTGTTGTTACTTATTGACTTATTCGCAATTCGCATGCGAAAATGAACGAGACCAGGGGCGTCTAAAAACTGGGGGGGGGGGAGGGGGCTAGGGAGAATATAATACCCCTTCCCACGGGTCGGGTTTTGAATTTCTTCAGGTAACAAAAATAAAAAGGGAAAGGAGAACATAAAAATTCTCATTAAATTTTTTTAGGGTGGGGGGGGGGTGGGGCTCTGTAAGTCATACACCAGAAAATTTGTGATCACTTCACATGTATTTTTGCGTGGAACCTGACATCTTTTTAGATAAGCAAAAAAAGATAATTAAAAAGATATTTAAAAATAAATAATACAATCTTATAACATGTAATTAAATTTAAAAAAACAACAACCTGAAAATACATTGCCCAGATATTGATATAAATTTAGCGGCTGATATCCACCGAATGAATCATCTAAAAATTATTTTTTTTTTACATTTATGTTATGTAGGTGTAGTGTAGTCAGAGTTTAGTCAGAGTGTAGTCAGAGTTTAGTCAGAGTGTAGTCAGAGTGTAGTCAGAGTTTAGTCAGAGTGTAGTCAGAGTATAGTAGCTAGTTTAAGAAAACTAGTCCAATCACTGTATATATAATATTTAAGTTTTAAAATGAAAAAAAAAAAAAAGGAAAATAAGGAAGAAATGCCCTTTGTACATCAAATTTCTCGAATTCTCCAGCGACCCAGGAATTTTGTCAGTTTTCTATTGTCATTAAGTTTAGTCAGAGTGTAGTCAGAGTAAAGTAGCTAGTTTAAGAAAACTAGACCAATCACTGTATATATAATATTTAAGTTTTAAAATGAAAAAAAAAAAAAAAAGGAAAATAAGGAAGAAATGCCCTTTGTACATCAAATTTCTCGAATTCTCCAGCGACCCAGGAATTTTGTCAGTTTTCTATTGTCATTTATTTAATGGAGGTCAAATGTACACACACATTATGTAAAAAAAACAACAAAAAAACAAGATGTACTGGTTCTATACACGAACTCTTCATTTCTGTTATTTTGGGTGGAACACATCATTGAAAATAAGAAGATAACTATTTTTTGACACCCAGACCCGAATCCGATTTTTTGGCGTGTCCGCAAAAAGGCCGGCTGTGCTGAAAGTGCCGGCTGTGCTGATACTAAAAAAATTCCGAGTATTTGGGGCCAGTACCCGGCTCATCAGCCCTCATGGAAATGAGCCAGTATTGACCGCCACTGCTCAGAAATCAGATTTTTGGTTAGCAACACAACTTAACAACATTGTAAGTTTACTAAAAAATTATTTTTTTTTGGAGCAATATATGGATTTCATTATTTAATTTGCTGAAAAATGTACAGTATTGAGTTTTAAAGATATTGTAACAACTTTTTTAAACAAAATCTTTATTGATAAATTCAACAATAATCTAAAAGTTTTTTTTTAAAAACTTTACTTTAAAAAAAAAAATGACTAACATTCACAGTGAACTCTCAAATTTAAATACCATGCAGAATTGACCAAGGTCCAAGGGAGATGGGAGAGTTTGGCTTCCGCCACTGAGAAGCCCGGGGGGGGGAGGAGGGGTTGACGCCCCTAACCAAGGCTGAGTACTCGGGTGGCTTGTCAGGCTTATGTGTGCTTGGAAAGCTTTCCCGTATGTAGGACACGCCTGTTTTGGGCTTCAAGTGGTTATATACTAGGTTGATGATGCCGAATGGTTTAACTTGCGTTAAACACAAGCTTTGTGTCGAACCAGTGTTTGAATCAAAGAATCGGAATCAGTACGTTTTAGATCACGCCTAGGGTGTTTATTCATAAAATACCAAAATATTAAATTTAGTATTTCGAAACGTGCTGAATTATGAGTGAAAGTTCGTTCAGGAATTTGCGATTCCTGGCTGGAAATATTTTCAGCTGACATTACAGCTTTCATCTGGAGATATGGACATTTGGAGTTTCTTGTCTGGGGTTAATAAATATAAAGACAATAATGGACGATCTCCCCCCCACACCCCCCCCCAAACCTACCAAACACCCCCCCTCCCTCCCAAACCCGACCACTGTTTCTTTCAGACAATTTTCCCCGAGGGGTGGGGGGGAGGCATTTCAGAATTTCGGGCCGGGGGGGGGGCAGTGCCTATTGTTAATGGGCCGTGGCCAGAGGCGTAGCTAAGAGGTGGCGGGTGGGACATACGTCTCGGGGTTCCAGACTAGCGGGGGAACGAAAATGGGCTTTGATGGTATTTGATGGTTGAAAATGATTATTTTCAGCGTTGGAAAAAAAAAAAAGGGGGGGGGGGCAAAAATAAATCATGTCTCCCGGCGCCAAACACTCTAGTTACAGCCTTCCGGTGGCGTAGAAAGGGGAGGGGGAGTTTTTTTACCCCCAGATGTCACTTTCTCTTTACATGGAGGTGCGGCATTTTCGGACAACTGCACTGTTTGTATGGTGAAAGGGAGAGCGGCCAAAAATATATTTGGCCCCCATGGTGACCCTAACAGTAGCTACGCCTTTAAGCAGTGTATCTCTTGCCAACAAAATTATTGATCCTTTTCACCGGGACGTAGGGTAGAAAGCGGGG